GACAGGCACCTGTAGTCCCAGGTACTTGGGAGGCTGAGGCAAGAGAATCACTTAAGCCCAAGAGTTGGAGGTTGCTGTGAGGTGTGATGCCATGGCACTCTACCAAGGGTGACATAGTGAGACTCTGCCTCAAAAAAAAAAAAAAAAAAGAAGTTTTACTGTAATATTCTTCTGATTAGCTATTCATTGAGCATAGATTTTTATTCACAGATGAAAAAAAATCAAGTATTCTCAATCCTCCCATTAATCAAGAAACGAAATGCAATACCCAACAAATCCCAACAAGGTTTTTCATAGAACTTGGCAAAATGATCTTAAAATTCATGTGAAAAGCAAAGTAACAAGAAAATTGAAGAATAGCAAGTTAGCGGGAAAATGTCTGACAGATACTAAGACTTGTTATAACACTATAATATGTAAAAACATTATGATATCAGGACAAAAATAAACAAATTAATAGAATAGAAAAGATAATCAGAAATAAATCCATGTATATATAGATGCATGAAAACAAAGGAAGAATTAGAGACTAATAGAGAATAACTATTCAATATATGATTATAATAGCTCCATTTTCATTTGGAATAAAATAGTGTTAGATTCTTACCTCATAATAAACAGAAAGTTCAATTCTGAAAATTCTGTTCATTGAAAAGCCAAATATAAAAACCACACATTTATAAATTTTAGAGAAAATATAGGATTATCTTTATGACTTTTGGAATGGAAGGATTTCTTGAATAAAATCCAAGTATACAAACTAAAGGAAAAAAAAACTAACATTTTTGATAACATTAAATTAAAGATACCATAAACAGAAGTTGAATGAGCCACAGATTAAGTGCTGTGATTTATACTATCTAAAGCATATAAACAATTCAAACCCCTTATGGAACATGGAAGAATTCCTCCTTCCACCCAAATTGAAACACACTAAGATGCCATATTTTTACTTAGCAGAAAAGAAAAAGTAAAATAATTTGTTGGTATAAAAGGACATAAAAATTTGAAATACTCATCAATTTGTGGGCCTAAATTAGTAAGACCATTTAACCTTACCTTGTACAGTACCTGACTTTATGTGCACTCAGAAGCTAGTAAAATAAATGTCATTTTGGAAAGCAAATCCATTCTACAAAGAAAGACAAAGAGGAAAAGCCACCTTTCCCTCACCTCAAATAAGAGTGAAAGTAAGGCACACAAGACACATACATGGTCCTATGCTTTGTATCTCAGGGGTACCTAGGAAAATGATCAGACAGGATCAGTTAGAGATAATCAACACTGTGGTAGTGGCATTGGTACTGGCAGAGTAGAAGCTAGATAAGGGGACCTGAGGCAGGCAGGGCTCTTGGCTCCTCATATCTTAAAAGTGGCATTTAGAGCTTGTTGAAAATGTTCAAGTGTTTGTGAAGGCTGAAGGCCCTCAGATGAGGCCAATAGTTGGTAGAAAACTGGACTTTAAGGCCAGTGGCTAGAACTATGCTCTCCAATAAGTAGGGTACTAGGATGTTGTGTTGTGTGAGCTATACATAAACAGTCATCTGGTTATGTGTTCTGCCATGGAAGCAAAAGATCCAGATAATGCCACATAGATGTGAAGCCCATTTCCCTTCATGATAAATTTACATCCCTATCTATATTATCTTGAAGAATACAGAAGGATAGAGATGTCTTTCAGACATCTTTCAGACATCTAGGGGGATGGAGGCAAGATGGTGGACTGCAGCCAGCTTTCTACAGAGGCTCCCATCCAGAAGGAGACTTAAAGGATAGAAGTTTAGCAAGTAAGCCAATGGTTTAGAGTTGAGCCAAGAGAGAAGATTGAAGAATGCACATCACCCTTGCTGAGCCGAGCTGTGACGCCAAAAATACAATCAAAAGGTACAAAATCCACCACCAAGCAGACAGGAGTCCCCTTCCCCACAAGAAGTGCTTGCAGTTTACTCCATACAAACAAGCGAGCAGAATTCAAACATCCTCCCACTCTAAAGACCCCCTAAAAACTGGACCTCCTATCCCTATCAGGGTGCCACAGCACTCTCCTGCCAGGCATAAAACTGTAAAACTGTATAAAACTGTATATATTCTCTACCTACAACTCTGAACTCCCAGGATCCCGCCCTCCACTCTTATCCTGAGGTCTGGAGGTTTGTCACCCATGGAGTCCAGATTCTTGGGCATGTCCTTGAGACGACTGGAAGGGGAAAGGGCTGGTGCCGGTCTGTGCTGACTCTGTGGCACAGGAGCAAGCAGAGGACAGTCAGCTGAGAGGGAGTCATTCAGGAGCTCTGGTATCCTGAGTTGCAGAGTGGCAGCCATGGCAGAACACACTTCTGAGGCCATTCTGGACAGACACTCCCTTTCTCCCTGGGCAACCAGAGGAAGCTGGCATTTTGGCGGAGCAGACTTGGGAAGTTCTGTGAGTGAAGACAAGCCCTAAGTGGTACTGACCTGGGTGGAGTGAGTGCAGAGCCCACATAGTTCCAGGGAGGGGTTAGCCAAAAAAGTGCTTCACTGAGTCTAATAGCACCCAGCCTTTAGGGGATTATAGCTGAGACAAAGGCAGTGGGTGGGCAGAGGCTAGAATTGACACCTGAGTGTAAACTCTAATTGCTTGCTGCCCAGGGCTGGGTTTTTTTATCAGCTCTAGCAGCGTCTGACCTGCAGAGGAATTTAGCCAGACAGAAAGAAATTCTGTGAAGTTGCTCTGTCCTGTTCCACCAGCAACATCAGTCAGGCATGGGGCTGGAACTGAGTGAACTCCCCTAGCCTATATTAAACACCCAAGGTCCCCCTGCCAGATGCAGATCTCCTGGTGACTCAGGCAGTCATAAATCCCGGGAGTAGTTGCTCACTGGAGTGAACTGGTCACAGCCCTGTGAGATTACCAGTGACTGGGTGCAAGGTGGGGAAGGAGGCATCAACCTTCCCAGACTAATTCATTCACTGGGTGGGCTGTTCTGCCCTCATGGAGCACTGGAGCAAGTCTTATCTGAGCTGCCAGCAGACTCCTTCCATCTAGTAGCTGAAGACTTTATGAACTCTCCCACCTGAGACTGGTCCTGACTGGGCAAACTGATTTGGACCCCTTGAACTGGGCAAATCATCCAAGGACTATCCAAAGTGGCACCCAGGGTATATGGTTGTGGGAAGGTTTGATTTTCCTTGCCCAATTGTTCTTTGTGGGGGGTGGGGGTGACTTAATTGCTGGTATTTCCCCACAGCTGAGACTTTAACCAAGAGTAACTGATTCACTAGGGTAGGACAGAGACCAGCTGAAAATAAGACAGAGCCACTTAGTCCCACCACACCAAGCAGGTCCCCAGTCTCTCAGGCCATATCACCATATGGGTCCTTCATGTTCACATGGATGGAGCTGGAAAGTGTTCTTCTTAGCAAAGTATCTCAAGAGTGGAAGAAAAAGTATCCAATGTACACAGCCCTATTTTGAAACTCAGTTATAGCTTTTATAGGAAAGCTATAACCTAATTATAGCCTTAGAATATAGGGAGGGGGGAAGGCGAGAGGAAGGGAAGGGAAGGAGAGGGGATGGGAGAGGAGGGGGGTGGATGGATGGAAGGAGGGTGATTGGTGGGGTCACCTCTATGGTTTATCTTACGAGGGTAGAAATGAACAGTTTTAAAAGCAGAGTATGATTGTCTTAACTGAATAACAAAGAAAATGACATGAATACTATGCTAACCAGTTTGATGAGAGTATTTCAAATTATATATGAAAACACCACACTGTACCCCATGATTGCATTAATGCACACAGCTATGACTTAATAAAAAAAAAGACTAACTCATCTAGAATAACCTCAACAAATTGTCATATCAGCCTTATATTACTTTTAGTTTTCTCATCCTTGCAGTGTGGAGTTTGAAGGAAAATTAGTTATAGAAAATAAAGCTACGTTTGCTTTTTTGTGAGGTTACTTTCTGTGGTTTCAATTATGTAGTTCAACCAAGGTCCAAAAATATGAAATGGAACATTCCAGAAATTAATAATTCATAAGTTTTAAATTGTCACTGTTTTGAGTAGTGTGATGAAATTTTATGCAGTCCTGCCCTGTGTGGGATGTGAATCATCCCTTTTGCTGGTGTATCTATGCCATGTATGCTTCCTGTCCATTAGTCACTTAGTAGCTGTCTCAGTTGTCAGACTGATACATCCCAAGAAGAAAGGTGAGTATAGTACAATAAGATATTTTGTGTCATTACTTTCACATACCTTTTAATATAGTGTATTATAATTTTTCTGTTTTATTATTATTTTAAATTACTTACTATGCCTAATTTATAAATTAAACATTATCAGGGGTATGTATAAATAGGAAAAAGTGTAGTGTAGTCTTGGATACCAGGTATTCACTAAGGACGCTAAAATGTACCCCCAATGGATATGGGAAGACTATGTCATGGCAATGTGTTATTTGAAGAGATGTGGAATGTACTGTTGGTAGGAGAATAAATCGATATACCCTCTTTGACGATTATTATAATATAAATAAAAACTAAGCTAGGAGTACCTTATGTGATAGCATTTTTGTACCTAGAAATTATTTTTTTCAGAGTAATATGAATATATGAACAAATATCCACAATGTATACTATTGTGGATAATGGCAAAAAGTTGGAAACCATCTAAACATGCATTGATAGAGAACTAGCTAATTAAATATAATACCCATTTATAGTGGAATACTTAGCAACTTTGTAAAAAAAATGAGTATAGATCTACATGGGAAGATGTCCAAGATATATTATTTAGTGAATAAAGCAAGTTGTAGAATAGAATATTTTAAATGATTTTATTTGAGAGTATAAATGGGGGTTAACTATGAAGAGATGGGGAACTTGTAACTTTACACACTTCTGATTTTTTACAGTCCACCCAATTATTTCTGTTTAAATAAACAATAGTGATACTATTATTTATTTATCTAAAGATAAATACATTTAAGTAGTGATAAATATAAGTAGTGATACTATTATTTATTTATTTAAACATGAATGAACATAAGATTTTTCTTACTGTGTAATCTACTGTCCCACTCACACGACGTCACCATGCCTTTCTAGGTTCAGCAAGGCAAAATTTACAAAGCAAACACTCACGTTTTATTTCCATCTTGAGCAGAAGATTAATCCCTAGTGCCAATGCAATATTTGAGCTAACACAGGCAGCCACTTTGTTTGTGAGGATTGTCGCTCCATAGTTCTCAGCAATAAAGTTAAATGGAAAAAAACTGGCAAAAAATAGTAAGTTTCCAGCAGAAGCAGCCACATGAGCTTTAAATAAGAAGGGGATTATAAATTTAGTTTAACATAATCTTCAAAATAATGGATTACAAATAATTTTTTATACTACAGCAAAGCACTAGAATGTAAGCTTTATGAGTGGAAATTTATCTTTTCTTTTTACTCATGTATCTTCAGTGTCTAGATAGCATATAGTATTGGCTCAATAAATATGTGCTGAGTAAATTTCTGAGTGTGAGGAAGATTTCCTGGAAAGCTTATCCTTACATGTGTGGTGATACTATTATAGGTGCATAAGAACTATAGTCTAGCTTCTAGTCATCTGAAAACTCCAAATTCTCTCTCTCTTTTTTTAGACAGAGTCTTACTATGTCACCCTTGATACAGTGCCCTGGTGTCACAGCTCACAGCAACCTCCAAGTCTTGGGCTTAAGTGATTCTCTTGCCTCAGCCTGCCAAATAGTTGGGACTACAGGCACCTGCCACAAAGCTCAGCTATTTTTTTTTTGTAGTTGTCATTGTTGTTTAGCAGGCCCGGCCGGGTTTGAACCTGCCAGCCCCGATGGATGTGGCTGGCACCCTAACCACTGAACTATGAGCACCAACCCAAGAAAACTCCAAATTCTTAAACTAGAGAACACTGGAACAACAACTAGACTGACAGCTTCCAGAAAGAAACAATGAAAGGTTCTCTCTTTCAAGAAATAGCAAAATAGAAGGAGTCCTTCCCCATCCATAATTACTTTAAATAAAAATGGACTGAACTCTCCAACAAAAGATAGATACTGACAGAATGGATTAAAAAATTATCTAACTATATTTTCTCTATATCCAAAGGCACAAGTAAGTTGAAAGTGAAAGAATGGAAAAGATAATCCATGCAAACAGTAACCACGAGAGTGGGGGTAGTTGTACTACTATCAAAGAAAATATATATTTTTCTTAAGTGCACATGGATATTCCTCTTGATAGACCACACGTTAAATGACAAACCAAATCTCAATAGATTTAAAAAGATAGAAATCATAAAAATAAATTAGCTGATGATAAACTATTTCATACATATATTTAAATATTTATTAACTACAAAGGGAAATACTAACTTTTCAGGGAAGATAACCTGGTAACTGTTCCTCAATCAGCTGACAGAAATTAACATCACTAGTTCTAAGATATACTGACATTATTAACTTTAATATTATGCAGTGAGAAGGACACAATGTCATTGCTGTGGTAGTTTTATCAAAAATGCAAAACTCATTCTAATAATGAGAAAAATTCAAACAAATCCAAATTGAGGAACATTCTACAAAATAACTGATCAGTACTTTTAAAAAATGTCAAGATCATAAAAGATAAAGGAAATATTTATGAAATGTTGCTGATTGGAGGAGATTTCAATTAACAACTAAATTTAGGATCCTGGATTGAATTCTGCATCTGCAAATAGTAGTAAGAAAAAACTAGTGGTATTCAAACATGGTTCACATTTGCACCAATATGCATTTCCATGTTTGAAAATTAGATTATGCTCATATAAAATGTTAACATAAGGAGCACTAGCATGAAGGAAACTCCCTGCACTATTTTTACTCCTCTGGAAATTCAAAATTTCCAGAAATTCCAATTTTTTCCATGTAAGTTTTCTTTAAAAAAGTATTTAATCCTAAGTGTCATATTCAAAAGGCAGATAAAAGAAACTCCACATATGAAATAACAAAAAGGAAAATGGACAATCACCACTGGATGAACACCTCAGTTCCCAAAGAAGAAAACTAAATATTTAAAAGTATTCAAGAAAAAAGTATTCCAGAAAAAAGTTAGATGATTCTAACATATTTGACAAAGGATCATGCTAGTCACCTAGGAAAGTGACTCAGAATAACCAACATTCAAACTTAGCTTAGCAAATGACTGAGTCTGAAGATTAAAAACTGTTTCAGTAATACAGGCAAAAATATCAACATAAAAAAATAAAATTGACACTAAATTTTTTGAGGTCTACATTTGTTGTCTAAAAACATACAGAAATCTTGTCCTTTGGGAAGTATCAATAAAAAACACAGTTTTAATATTAAAGAGGGAAAAACATAGATAAATTAAATAAGAAATGGCAAAGGTCTTTGCAAAACAAACAACATCCCTCAAACATCCAAGAAATGAGTATCATTCTGGGAAATAACATAAACTACCAAAATGAATCTCAGTTGACACAGAAATCTTGAATATAAAAATGACTCTAGAATGAAGATTTATGACAAAGTACCTGATCCTGAAATAGTCATCAAACTATAAGCAACTGTAGAATGCACAAAATATGCGAGGCAGATATTGAACAATATGGTAAGTAATTAAAGGCAAAAATCCTTGAAAGAAGAGAAACTCACATGGAAGTGAGTGCCATGATTGTTTCAAGTCTCTTCCTGGGGACAGTTTCCCATCATAATGTACCAAGTCCAAAAACAGAGCAGTCTCACTCTGGTAAAGAGGCAGAGATCAGAGTTCAAGGAAGATATAACACTGGAATATGTGAGGGAAGGGGAAAGAAACTGTGCAGAGGAGATATCCCAGGATTCCTATGACTCCTTAGTTCCAGTTGGAGCCACAGGTGAGCAAGCTGAGACTTACTGGAGAGTGACTCTGTAAGACTGAGAGCAGAACTGACAATGGAGATTGAGCACCATCACAGGACATTAAGCCACATTGAGAGAGCTTCTTAATACTTCCTAAACATCCTGAGCATCTAGTTGAGAAATGAGATGAAACCTTAAGAGATAAGACCATGCTTTAGACCAACCATTTTCAAAAAAGGGCCATTTAGTAAATATTTTAGGCTTTGTCTCTGTCACAACTATTCAACTGTTACTGTAGTACTAAAGCAGCTACATACAATATATAAATGAATGAGTATGGCTGTGTTTCAACAGAGTAGATCTTGAAACTACAAGATTTCTTTTCAAGTATGGATATGAGTACTTTGGAAGGTGAACCCCCCAAAGTTAGAAGGTCTTGAGAAATAACTTAGGTTTTCCAAAGAGCTGCCATAAGAAAGCATGAAATCAAGCCTTCACACATTCCAAGTGATCATTCAGTAAAATTGAACTGGCTACAAATATTGATCCTAGCAACACTCTTTAGAACCTCCATAATGTACCATCAAAAATGCCTGGGATATAATAAAATTATCAGAAATACAAATAATCTGGTGAATATAAGCCATAACTAAAGAAAATTCACAGTTAATAGACATAAATGAATCCTAGAAAACAGAAATGCTAACTTTAGCAGATAAAGAATTTTAAAGTATTATGGATGTTGAAATAATTTTTAAAATAATCTGCATGAGGAAACAGGAAATCCTAGAACGAGAAAAGAAACTATAAAAGAACAAAATGGAAATTTTAAATTCTAAAGCTGGAATATATAACAACTGAAATGAAGAATTCATTGAATGAGCAGATTGGGAAGTAGGGAAGAGTCAGTAAACTTGAAGATAAGTCAAATAGAAATTATTCAATCTGAAGGAAGTAAGAGAGAGAGAGAGAAAGATGAACAAGAAATGAGACTCAAAAGGAGAATAAGAACAGAATGAAAAATATGTGAAGATATAAAAACTGGAAACTTCCTAAATATGAAAGGCACCACCATCCTACATATATCCAAGAAGTATAGTTAACTCTCAACAGAGAAAAATGTAGAAATCCACATCTAGGTGCAAATATTCAAACAGTTGACAACAAATCATAACTTGAAAGTCAAATTATATCCGATGGAACAATGATAAGAAGGTGATAAAATTGACAAACACCTACCAATATTAAAACAGACAAATCACAAAAAACATAAATTGTCAATACCAGAAATAAAAAGGGGGAAGATCTATGGAAATCTCCTAGACATTAAAAAGATATGAGGACTTATTAAACACTTTATTTCAGTGAACTTGACACTTTAGATACAATTGACAAATTCTTTGGAACATTCAACTTATGAAAACTAACATAAGAAATAGGTAAGTTCAAGGTTCTATATCTAGGACCAAGAAGTAGATCTGTTATTTAAACATTCTTCCCCTTTCTCTTATTCCTAAAAAATCCAAAAACAGATAGCTCAGTGGTTAATAATTTAAAATGTGTAAAGAATTATATCAATCTTACACAAACTCTTTCATAGAAAAGAAAAATGGGGGATTACTTCCTAACTTGTTTTATAAAGGCCCTGTGACATTGACACCAAATTATGAAAACAACAGTACAAGAAATAATTATAGATAAATTTTTTTCCATTGATGAAAAAATCCTAAACAAAAGGTTTTCATATTAAATCCATCTACATAAAAAACTTGATACTTCACCATCAAGTGGATTTTCTACAGTTATATAGGAGAGGGTTAACATTAAAAAAAATCAATACATTTTGCCACTTTAGAAAAGAAAAAATACTATTAAGCTCATTTCAGAAGATGCAGAAAGATTTCTGATGAAATTCAAAATGGTTTTAAGGGAAGCATAGTAAATAGCAATGAATGGGCCTATTTTTAATCTGATAAAGAATATCTACAAAAACCCAAATAAAATCACATTTTAAAGGAGAATTATTGAAAGCTTTCCCCTCTATAATCAAGAATATAACAAAGATGCTCCCCTAACATCATTTCTACTCAACATTTTCCTTGAAGTACTAACCAGTTCAATAAGTCCAATAAAATGAATAAATGGCATATAGATTGGACAGGAAGAAATGAAAACATCATTATTTACACATAATACAATTCTGGGTATGAAGAATACTCAAAGTATCTACATACTAAGGACTAGAATTAGTAAGTGAATTTAGCCAGGTCTGGATACAAAATCAATATTAAAAATACATAGTATTTTTATATACTACAAATCAAAAATATAAAATGAAATTTGAAATATCATTTATAATAGCATCAAATAACAAAAACATGCAGGAATAGTTTATACTATGAGTTTATTATTGAGAATTCTACAGTAGGCTAAATAATTGCCCCCAAAGATATCAGG